TGCTTGAGAGAAAGGGAGAGCAGGATATGTTTTTTTCTTTTTCTTTTTCTATTACATGCACATTAAAAAAACAACAACTTTGAAACAATAACAAAATTGTGGAGGTACAATACAAATAACATTTATGAATCATTTGAGAGTTAAGTTGCTGACCAGATGCCTCTATCTTTCCTAAATACTTGATTTTCCTCTAAACAAAGACATTCTCCCAAATAACCACAATATAACTAGTATAATCAAAAAGTTAACATTGCATTACTACCTCTAGTCTCCAGGCCGTGCTTCTCCATTCTTGGGTACTGATTCATCATTCTGGACAGCCCAATATGTGGATGTCATCATTACCCTGCTCCTTTCCACACTGGTTGCTCTTTGCAAATTTATTCCTCGCCAACCTAGGCTCTAACCTCACTCTGGGCCACTATTCCTCTGCCACACCTCTCATTCCCACAGTGTACTTTCCTTGCTCTGTCCCTTGCTTTGGGAAGTAGGTGGCTGGTAACTGGGTCCCTGTTGCCTCCCTGCATATTATATTGTTTAAAACATTCAAGGAAAATCAAGCATTAAGGTAGATATTCTGCTTCCAGAATTATTGCAAAGCAACTCTAAGTGGTGTACCTCAATCTTTTCAATTTACTTGCTCTTTAAAGTCTACAGATGTGGCCCTGTTTTTTTTTTTTTGTTTTTTGTTTTTAAAAAAAAAGATTTTATTTATTTATTCATGAGAGACACAGAGCATGAGAGAGAGGCAGAGACACAGGCAGAGGGAGAAGCAGGCTCCATGCACCGGGAGCCCGACGCGGGACTCGATCCCAGGCCTCCAGGATCGCGCCCTGGGCCAAAGGCAGGCGCCAAACCACTGCGCCACCCAGGGATCCCCAGATGTGGCCCTGTTTGAGTGGACTCTATTTCAATGTTTTTACAAACTTCCAAAACAGCAGGACTCTTTTTTTTCCCAAATGAACTCTTATATAGACGCTTTTTTTTTTTAATATAGACGCTTAATAGGTAAATTGGATCAAAGCAGAATACACATTATTAAAAGTAGGCCCTCCTCCTGTAACCCCCACTCCTCCTTGTTCCCAAGGTCCACCACCAAGGCTGGGTAGACAGGTGGGAAATAGCAATAATCAGTCAGTTACAATAATCAGTCTCTAATTACTGAAGAGAAGGACGCCTGGGTAGTTCAGTGGTTAAGCTGCTGCCTTCAGCTCAGGGCGCGATCCTGGGGTGCCAGGATTGAATCCCACAAGGAGCCTGCTCCTCCCTCTGCCTCTCTCTCTCTCTCTCTCTCTCTCTCTCTCTCTCTCTCTCTCTCTCTCTCTCCCTCTCCCTCTCCCTCCCCCTCCCCCTCCCCCCCCCCCCCCCCCCCCCCCCGTGTCTCTCATGAATAAATAAATAAAATCGTTAAAAAAAATTACTGAAGAGGGCCTGCTAGCTTCACAACTACTCTTGGTGTGCACATTTCTCTCTCTCTCTCTCTCTCTCTCTCTCTCTCTCTCTCAAATCTTTAAAAAAAAACTCTAGATAACTAAGGAGCTTCTGAATAACCACCATAGAACTCCAGGTTTCTACAGAACATAACTTGAAAGAAAGTTTTAAGTTCCATTTTTTAAAATGGCAACCCTCTACTTTCCTGAATTTCTAAACCTGTTACTGTTCTATCTATTCAGGGTTTCATGAACAATAATGCATGCCACTTTCTTGAAGAATTGCAAAGGGTTTCTCAGGCTGCTGTTCTATGGAAGGAGCCAACAGGAGAGCTTTAAGTTACGTGGCCATATACTTACCACAAACAGAAATATGTAAGAATCAAGAAACTAAAGTTTATACTTTTATTGCTCTTTCCATGACAGGTGCTAGAGTAAGATATTTGAGTTCAATTTAGGTGTCCTAGCTGCTGATGCCAAATGGATTCTATACTTCACTAGTGCTCCAAGAGCTGGAGGAATTAAGATCTCTTGATAGAGCCACTGGCTTCAGGTCAGTAACCTTTGTTCTAAGATGTGAGAAGTGCTAGTCAGAGGGAGGCAAAGATTGGAGATGATCTTGCATAGTTGGGAATTGGAAGAGGCAGAATCCAACCAGGTGGTGATACTTGGATTTAACCTGTTTATCAGCCATTTCTCAAGAACTGACCATCTGCCTCCATTCTATGTACTGTTAGTGAAGTAATAAAAACCACCTGGGGGTGATCTAAGCCGAAAAGGGCAAGTTTGTTATAAGGATACGAAGTTGTGTTACGGAACTCAACAATAAGGATGTAGGAACCTGGAGATGATACTAGCACCAGGATTTGGAAGGCTGATAGCATTTTCTTTCATTTCTCTTGTAAGTGAGGCAATTCAGTAATGGATGGTCCTGTAGATAAGGGAGACTTTTGGGGATCCCTGGGTGGCTCAGTGGTATAGCGCCTGCCTTTGGCCCAGGGTGTGATCCTGGGGTCCCGGGGTTGAATCCCACATCGGGCTCCCTGAATGGAGCCTGCTTCTCCCTCTACCTGTGTCTCTGCCTCTCTCTCTCATGAATAAAATCTTAAAAAAAAAAAGGGAAGACTTCCCTTTTTTTTTTTTTTAGATTTTTTATTTATTTATGATAGGCACACAGTGAGAGAGAGAGAGGCAGAGACATAGGCAGAGGGAGAAGCAGGCTCCAGGCACCGGGAGCCCGATGTGGGATTCGATCCCGGGTCTCCAGGATCACGCCCTGGGCCAAAGGCAGGCGCCAAACCGCTGCGCCACCCAGGGATCCCAGGGAAGACTTTCCAAAACTAGGACCCTGAAGTTGTCATATGAAAGTGAGTGGGGTCAGGGTGCCTGGGTTGCTCATTGGTTGAGCGTCTTTCTTTGGCTTGGGTTGTGATCCTGGGGTCTTGGGATTGAGCCCCACATCAGGCTCCCTACTCAGCTGGGAGTCAGCTTCTCCCTCTACCCCTTCCCCTGCTCTCTTTCTCTTTCTCACTCTCAAATAAATAAATGAAATCTTAAAAAAAAAACACGTGAAAGTGAGGGGATTGAGGTGAGAAGAAAGTATTTGGTTATAAAAACCTAAGGACAATAGTGTTTCAAGTCTTATTGTCATCAGTTGTAATTGGGAGGGAAACGAGAACCGAGGGCAGTACCATTGGATTTATCTTTATGTAGCAGTGATTTATCCAGCAGAGTACAGTAGCATGATTAAGAGCCACTAGACTGCTAGTTCTCTCTCTATTTAAAATAGGAGACTGAGCAAGAGTATCTCTAAGCTCCCTTCCAATTCCAAAGCTGTAAGACTTGCTACTCAGGCAGGATCAGCATCATCTGGGAGCTGGAAATGTACAGTCTCAGGTGCCACCTCAGACCTCCTGAATTGCAGTCTGCATTTTAACATGATTCATAAATAGTTAAGTAGATTTGGTGCATCTAAGAATGGATTATTATGTAGGTATTAAAAAAAAGAGGTGTAGAGGTGCTTAGGCTCAGGTTGTAATCTGAGGGTCGTGAGATTGAGCCCTGCATTGGGCTCCACACTGTTTGGAGTCGGCTTAAGACTCTTCCTCTCTCTCTGCACCTCCCCATTGTGTGGCGCATGTGTGCCCTCTCTCTCTCTCTTTCTCTCTCAAATAAATTGTAAAAAAAAAAAAAGTGTATGTGTGTATATGAATTACTAAAATATATAAGAAAATGGCTGCTAATGATTTGTAATTTCATAATTCAATTAAAAAGTCTCTTCTAGGGGATCCCTGGGTGGCGCAGCGGTTTGGCGCCTGCCTTTGGCCCAGGGCGCGATCCTGGAGACCCGGGATCGAATCCCACGTCGGGCTCCCGATGCATGGAGCCTGCTTCTCCCTCTGCCTGTGTCTCTGCCTCTCTCTCTCTCTCTCTGTGACTATCATAAAAAAAAAAAAAAGTCTCTTCTATAGGGACACCTGGTAGCACGGTGGTTGAACATCTGCCTTTGGCCCAGGGTGTTATCCTTGGATCTGGGATCCAGTCCCACATCAGGCTCCTTATGGGGAGCCTGCTTCTCCCTTGGCCTATGTCTCTGCCTCTCTCTCTCTCTCTCTCTCTGTCTCTCTGTCTCTCATGAATAAATAAATAAAATCTTTAAAAATAAATAAATAAAAATCTACATATGAAAAAGTTTTAAAGAATATAAACAAAATTTAATTTTGGATGATTTTTTCTTTATTATGAATGTATTATTGTCTGGACTTTTAAAATGAACATGTGTGTTTTAACTTTATAAGGAAAAAAGTAAGCTATTCTCTCTTTTTGAAGTTACTTCAGACTAACACCTAGCATAGGGCTTAAAAGCAGGGACTCAGGTGTCAGCCAGAGTTTGACTCTACTATTTCGTAGCTTTTTGACATAGGCCTAGTAATTTGACCTCTGGAAACCTTGGTTTTCTCATTTATATAAGAAACAGGGCAGCCCGGGTGGCTCAGCAGTGTAGTGCCGCCTTCAGCCCAGGGCCTGATCCTGGAGACCCGGGATCGAGTCCCATGTCGGGCTCCCTGCATGGAGCCTGCTTCTCCCTCTGCCTGTCTTTGCCTCTCTCTCTCTGTGTCTCTCATGAATAAATAAATAAAATCTTAAAAAAAAAAAAAACTACATCTTGAGAGTTTTGAGGATTAAAACTAGACATTAGATGTCTAGTGCTTAGCAAAGTACCTGGACATAGTACATTCTTGATAAGTGTTAGCTCTTATTACTATTATTATTCCCTTTTTAAAGATACAGTCTCACACACATCTCAAAAGCCTTCCCTTGACAAAAGGATAGTAACAATAGCAATTAGAAAGGAAAAAAAAAAAACCAACCCAGACTAATGGTCTTGGGTAAGTATCAAATTTTCCACAACTCCTCAAGATCACAGTGGGCAAAAGAGATGTGGATGAAAGTGCATAGTGTTAAATCTAATGCTGTTATTCTGTAGAGACTAGCTGTGGATTATATGTACATTTCTTTTTTAATGCAGATGTCTTTCACATTGTTGCCTGTCTTATTTCTTTGTGATAGGACACTTGAATTAACTTTGGCAGAAGAGAAATGGAGGAGCCATAGAACATTAAGGATGAATTCAGGAAGACCCGAGACCATGGAGAACTTGCCTGCTCTCTACACTATTTTCCAAGGAGAGGTATACTCTTTTGACCTTGAAAAGAAAACCTACCATTTATGTTAAGCATAGATGGGAGGTGAAAAGCCACTGGGTTTGGAACTCCTGTCCACTTGAGAATATGTGGAGTATCACAGTTCAAACAGAAGGGACTAGTGGAGCATCTGGCTATTATTTGTATTTCCTCTAAGCTCCAGACTCCTAACTGCATACTTGACATCTTCATTTGGATACCTCACAGCAGGTCTAGTTTATGTTTTAAACTGATTTTTTTTTTGGAGAAATTTATTTATTTTTAAAGTAATCTCTACACCCAGCATGGGGCTCAAACTCATAATCTCAAGATCAAGAGTCAGTTTATTCCACCAACTGAGCCAGCCAGGTGCCCCTGAATTTTTTATTTTCTAACTAAATATGTTCTTCTAGTCTTTCCCATCTCAGCAAATGAACCATTATCCTTCTAGGTATCCATGTTAAATGTCTGGGTGTCATCCTTCATTTCTCCTCTTTTTTTTCTTTAAAGATTTTATTTATTTATTCATGAGAGACAGAGAGAGACACAGGCAGAGACACAGGCAGAGGGAGAAGCAGGCTCCTCACAGGGAGCCCGATGCAGAACTCGATCCCCGGACCCTGGGATCATGCCCTGCGCCATAGGCAGATGCTCAACCACTGAGCCACCCAGGCATCCCTTCATTTCTCCTCTTGATTTGATCTTGATTTTCTCTCTCTCTCCAGTCCATCAACAAGTTGTATCATTGCTACCTCCCAAATATATCTCTTGTCTGTATATTTCTTTATCCCTGTGGCACCCCATTAGTTCAAGCTCTTCATCTCTTGCCTGTCCTTATTGGGGTCCCTACATCTATGGTAGTCCCTCTTCAACCTATTCTTTCTGTTGTAGCCAGAATAACATCTAATAAACAGATCAAATATGCTGCTTTCTCACAGCTTCTCATTGTACTTGAATTCATTCAAAGTTGTTTCATGAGCTCTACATGACTTGAACTTTGCCTACCCAGACAGTGTGGTTTTGTTCTATTCTATGCACACGCAAACCATTCTGGCCTCTTTACCACTCTGAGCATTTTTTTTTTTTTAAGATTTTTATTTATTCCTTTGACAGAGTACACAAGCAAGGAGAGCAGCAGTTAGAGGTAGAAGCAGGCTCCCTACTGAGCAGGGAGCCCAATGTGGGACTCAAACTCAGGACCTTGGGATCATGACCAGAGCCAAAGGCAGACACTTACCTGACTGAGCCACCCACGTGTGCCTCACTCTAAGCATTCTATGCCTGCTTCCTTCTCAGGACTTTTGTACATGCTATGTGTAACTATTCCATTCTCCCACTAACTTCTCTTCATGTTTTAAGTCTTAGCCCTAATGTCTCCTCAAGGATCTTTTCCTCACCATGAATAAATAGGCTCACCCTGTATTTGTGTACCTGTGTAATGTCTGTCTTCCTCACAGGACGCTTAAGTTCCATAAGGGCAGAGCCCTGTGTGGTGTTGTTTGTGGTTGTAGATCTTAGTCCCAGGTAAGTGGGTAGAAAATAATAGGTACTCATTACATCTTTGGTGACTGAATGATCAGCTTTTTTTTTTTTTTAATTTTATTAATTTATTCATAAGAGAGGCAGAGACATAGAGGGAGAAGCAGGTTCCCCATAGGGAGCCTGATACGGGACTTGATCCCAAGATCCTGGCATCATGCCCTGATCAAAGGCAGATGCTCAACTAGAGGCATCCAGTCATCCCAAATGATCAGCTTTTGAGGAAGAAAGCATTGTATTTGGAGAACAGACCAAACCTGGATTCCTGTCATAGTCCTTTTATTTACTGTGTGATTCTTGAAACTGCCATTTACTCTCTCTGAGCCTTAGTTTTCTCATTTATTAAATGGAGATAAGAACTTTTTCTATAGGATTGCCGTGATGGTTAAATAAGCTATTATCTATAAAAGCTATGCCTGAGATAGAGTAGGAATTCATTACCATTATCTTCTTCTCAAAGCAAAAGTAGAGCCAAAAAATTGTTTTCAGTGTCTTATGAGTACCTGTAGTATTTTAACAGTATTATTCTTACTTGTTTTATGGTTGACAAGAGTTTCATCTAATGATGGGAGGCCTTTGAGGGCAGACTTTATCTGTCAGTTGCAGACTTTATCTGTCAGTTGTTTGACTTCTGTTAAGTCCATTCTAACTTGTAATCTAAACTCAAGATACAAAAGATAATAACATTCTAGCAAATAGTGAACAAAGTTCTGCCTTTCAGAGCCTTGTCCTTTTTCTTTAAGGCCTGTGGCATCTCCAAAGATCAGTGAGTTACTACTAGGGCTCAGGAAAGGAAGTGGGTAGCACTAGAGACAAAGTGAATTTTTCTGGGGTGCCTGGGTGGTTCAGTCGGTTAAGCATGTACCTTTGGCTCAGGCTGTGGTCTTGGGTTCTGGGATCAAGCCCCACGTCGGGCTCCCTCCTCACAGGGAACCTGCTTCTTCTCTCAAATAAACAAACAAAATCTTAAAAAAAAAAAGAGATGAATTTTTCTGATGATGAAGTTCTTTTGTCAGGTGTTACACAAAAGCACAAAAGACAGAGAAGTGTGCCATGCCCTTTACAAACTGAGTCAGATTTCTGCAGTAGTTCCTACCTGACAGTTGCTTAAATGAGATGGGATTTGAATTAATGTAGGTTTTAAATGTTACTGTTAAGGAGGGATGGGCTAAGGGAATGTTTGGGGGAGAACTTAGTAGTTCTAGCTTTGTATTTCAGGAATGCATTTTGAAAAATGATGGTTTAGAAATGATTGGAATTAGGGAGAGAGGTTGTTTGATACATCAGAAGGAAGAAACTATTTTTCAGAATATTCATCCACAAACATTTAATGAGTGCCTAATATTTCAAAGAAGACCCAGTTACATTAAAATTCAAAAAAATTTGTAAGTCTAATATAGGTCAGCACTCTTACACATTCTGTGTCATTGACTCTCCAAAAAAAATTGTTAACTGCGTTTTATGGGTAAGGAAGCTCCTCTCAAAAGTTAAGTAATTGCCCAGTGGTTAATAAATAACAAAACTGGGATTTTATTTTATTTATGTTTTAAAAAGATGTATTTATTTATTTTAGAGAGAGAGTGCATGAGTGGGAGGGGGGCAGGGTTAGGGGAAGCAGACTCCCCCACTGAGCACAGAGCTCCATTATGGCTGGTCTCACAACCTAGAGGTCATGAAACCAAGAGTTCCCCAAACTGGGATTTTAAATCAGGTCTTCTCCAAGGCTGCTTTCTGCTAAACTGCACATGGTGTTGTCCAGCTGTACATAAATGCATGGAGGAACCAGAGGAACCTTAAGAGAAGTCTTTTTTAAATTTTTATTTATTTTTTATTTTTTATTTTTTTTTGATAAGTCTTTTTTTTAAAGATTTTATTTATTTATTCATGAGAGACATACAGAGAGAGGCAGAGACATAGGCAGAAGGAGAAGAAGGCTCCCTACAGAGAGTCCAATGTGGGATCCGATCCCAGGACCTCTGGGATCATGCCTTGAGCTGAAGGCAAATGCACAACCACTGAGCCACCCAGGCCTCTCAAGAGAACTCTTTTAAGTGAATTGAGGTACAAAGGAGGGTAAATGGTAAATCTGGTTGTTTCACAGTCATTTGGTTCTCAATTACAACATTTATCACAGTCTGTTTTGTATAATTGTTACTTGTATATGTATTTGTCTTCTCCACTAGATTGTGAATTACTGGAAAGCAAGGGCCATGGTTATCTCATATATCTTGGTAACTACTTCAAATTCATTTAAAAATAGATGGGCATTTTTTTTAAGGGTTTTTATTTCACAGTACCTATCATGGTATCTTGCATATAGGTACTCAGCAAATGTTTGAGTAAAATTGAACCAAAGCCTCATAGGACCAATCACCCTTGAAGAAACTGGTGGTGCAGCCCATAACTTAGCAGTTCTTCTCTTAGCAGGCTCAGCAGGGCTGGGGAGCTCAGCGATTGAATATCTGAGAAGCCAGTATTCATCCTCTCATCCTCTGAGAGGTTATCCTGGTGCTGGGTCAGTGAAGCATGGTAGCTGGTACAAGTGTAGCAGTGGGAGTTGGGATTTGGCTCAGCCCAACCATAGCCAAAGAAATGCTGAGGGGAGATTGGTGTTGGTGAGGTGGAACTAGCATTGGACTAGAAGTAAAAAGATTTCTGTTCTTGCTTTCTACTTCTGTGACTTGGGACAAGTATCTTAGGTCTCTGAGCCTCAAGTTGCTCATTCACATTATGGACTAACTAGTTTCAAGGCCAGTGCAACCTCTACTCCAAAGATGGTAAATTCATTTTACCTCAGCCTGGAGTTCAGTCGAGATAATTACTGAATTTTTTCCCCTGAGTTATTTGACTAATTATTCTTGGGACACCAGGCAGACTGTGCGATCATCTACAGCAGGTGCCATTCTGTTAATTTCAACTCTGAGTGCATCCTAGGAGACATAGTGATGGAACACCTGGTACTGGAATTAGGTGAGAATGCCTTTTCCTGACTAAACAGTTGAGTGCATCCATTCTGGAGCACATTAACTTTTCCTTTTGGGAGAGGCCAAATTAAGGTCTGTTAATGATATTTCCTCAAAAGATCATAACGTGACACTGGAGTTTCAGGATTGAAAAGTGAGATGGTCTTAATTTATAGCAGTAAAGTGTGTTGGGCTCCAACATCTAGATGCTTCTTTGAAGTTTGTTAGATAACTGTGCCCTTAATAATGTTGTTATGCAGTATGAAACACCTCAGCTATCTTTCTATAACTGTGAAGCAGAAGCCAGTTAAATTAAAAGCAAAAGCCAGGGTTCCTGGGTGGTTCAGTTGGTTGGGTGTCCAACTCCTGATTTCAGCTCAGGTCATGATCTCAGGGTCATGGGATCCAGCCCCATCAGGCTCAGTGCTGGGGGTGGAGCCTTCTTGGGATTCTCTCTTTCCCTCTGCCCCTCCCCATCTCTTGCACATGCTCTCTTTCTCTCAAAAAGAAAAAAAAAAGTTTAAAAGCAAAAGCCTTTAATTGGTCCAGAAATTAGGGATTTGCTTTTATCATAATTAAAAATTTACAGTCTTATCTTTATCTGGTTGGCCCTGTTTTATAAAAAATGACTTGCTTTATGAACTTGGGTAAGCTCTTTGTGTCTCTGGTCTTTACTTTCCTCATTTGAAACAGGATTGTACCAGCTAATCTCTGACATCCTTCCACCAGTTCCACCTTACCTTGATTTTAAGTACTAGTATCTGCCTCACTGTACTGTTTCTTTGGGACTGTCTGGTACCTACCCCACTATAGCATATTCATCAAAATAAAAGAGAACTCTAGGGGCTCCTGGGTGGCTCAGTTGGTTAAGCATCTGCCTTTAACTCCGGTTGTGATCTCACGGTCCTGGGATTGGGCCCCATATGGGGCTTTCTGCTCAGCAGGGAGTCTGCTTGTCACCCCCACCCCCTGTCCCGTGCTCATGCACACTCTCAAATAAAATCTTTTTTTAAAACGCTTTGGGTTCTTAACTCCTTAATGTTGTATCATAGAGTTATTTCAAGTGTCCATTTAAAAAATGTGGCAAATGGAAGTTTTTGTCTATGTCCATCCTAGCATCGAGGTGAGTAATGATAAGTGGTGGAGTAAGGGGCATTGGACTAGGCATCAAGGGATCTAGGGTATGTGCCTTGTGTCTAAGTTAGTTGTGTTTCTACTAGTCACTAACCTTTTTCGTGCATCAGTGTCTTGAACTCTGTTAAAGTGTCTTGAATTCTGTTAAATTGTTAAAAAGCCACAATTTATTGAATGTACATTAGGTGGCAGATACCACTTCAAGGCACTTTGTGTACATCATTTGTTATTTGCAGCAGGAAAGTAAATATACTTGGGAACTGAGGCCCTGAAAGGTAAGTTGTGTTCAACATCCCACAGGTAAGGAGTGACAGAGGTGAGATTATTATTATTTTTTTTTTCAAGATTTTATTTGTTTATTCATAAGAGAGAGAGAAAGAGGCAGAGACACAGGCAGAGGGAGAAGCAGGCTCCATGCAGGGAGCCCGACATGGGACTCGATCCCAGGTCTCCAGGATCACACCCTGGGCCTAAGGCAGCACTAAACTGCTGAGCCACCTGGGCTGCCCCCAGAGGTGAGATTAGAAGCCACATCTTTCACTCCAAAGCATGTACTCTTTCCATACCTGTACTATTCTACCTCATTTGCAGCACGGAGACCTACCATGTATACTTTTGAAGATCGTTCCCAGGAGCAGATAAAACGTCAAATGTCACATAGTCTCTGCGTTAGAATTTTATAGTTAAAGGGAATGCATGAGCAGCTCTAGTGTAGAAATCCCAGCTCTACTGCTTACTAACTTTGAACACTGGGTAAATTACTTAGTCTGTCCATACATCAGTTTTGTCATCTATCAAATGAGAATAGTGAGAGTATCAATATCATATGGTATCACAAGGAATATGTAAAGACTTTGAACAGTGCTTTACACGTAGTGAGTAATCAATACGTATTAGTGAAGAGCAGTGCATTAGGGCTTGTTCTTTTCACTCCTCTTAGTTATGCTAAAGCTGAAACAGTACTAAGATGAAACAACTAATTAAAGTCACTGAAAAAATAAAGCTTATAAGATTGTATTGAATACTTTATAAATAATAATGAATTTAGTGATAAATACAGGATGTAGCAACAATTTTAATTCTAGTCCAGGTTGGTGGGTGGGCTAGAGGATGGATGGGAGGTAGAGATAGAATTTGGGATAATGATTTATCTGGCAGAGGTTCCAGGCCTTTCATTACTATTACCTATTAAATCGACCCATTAAGCTTTTAACTTCTCCATCCTAGGTCAACTCCACAAAAGACTCTGGGACAGCTCTTTTTCTAATTATATCTTTTTAGGTTCTGTCAGATGTCTACGTATTAGCTTTTTTCTGCAGTTGTCTTATAAAACCCAAGACTGGTTTGGAGTTAAATAGAGCAGGCTATATGGTCTGTTTTGACTTGAAATTTAGGAAAAAGGGATGTCCTATATAATCCATCCCAAATTATTAAAGTTCTCTGTATTGGGATTGGGGGCTTCAGTTCCATCTAAAAGAAAATGTAGCATTATTACAAGATTTTCTACTGTGTGTTCCTTTTCTTCAAATATCTCCTTTGGGGATTTTAGTAGGTGTGGGATTTGGACATCTCTAGATCTTGTCATACCATCTGACAACACTCTACTCTCACCAGTATTTTTAATGTGTTCACACATACCTGCCAGTCTAAATTTCAAAAAGAACAGAAAGAATATTTGACAGAACATAACTTTTAGGCAGCTTTGCAGCAGGCAGTGTAAGTAGAAATTCGGAGAGACTAGGTTAAATGCTATGGAAGAGATTCTCATTTGTGTGACATTGATTCCTTTTTTTTCTTTGTCTTTGTAGGTTGCTATGGTTACAGACTATGGAGCCTTCATCAAAATCCCTGGCTGTCGGAAGCAAGGTGGGAGCCTATCATTTGAAATTCAGCCCTCCCATTCCACTGTCTCTGTCACCCCTACCACATCCTGATTATAGACTCTATTTTTCAAACAGTATTTTTGTTTTTGTCTTTAGCATAGAGATATGAATATAGGCAGGTGATGACAGTCCATGTTGTCGTACGTCCTAACTCAGAAGAATGGTGCTCTCTGATTTGGTGGGGGGCTGGGCATAGCTACTTGGGTTCACTTCTGGAACCAGCTCTTACCTAAATTTTACCTGTGGCCCTAGGCAAGGCACTTGGCCTCTTTGGTCTTAGGATTTGGGATAGGGCAAGCTATTTCCTCTTTGACACTGACACTGTGAATTTTCTAGTATATGGCACATAGAATGGGAATAATGTTGTAACCAATATGAATATATTCTGCATATCATGTTTTAATTTTTCTTTTTAAACTGATAGGCATTTGTTGAATATTTTTTGAGAATCCTTTCATATCTATAATCTTATTTGTTTCTTAAAATAATTGTGTTAAGTAGAAAAGACAAGTTCCATAGACTGGTGGCCTGCTCATAGTGATTTAGCTAGGTAATGGCACAGCTACGTCTAGAACCTGAGCGTCCTGATTCTTAGTCCAGTGGGTTTTCTACCATATCACAGTGCTAGTAGATCCAAAAACTCAACTTGCTAATTCCTTGTGCTATAATAAGTTAAAGATTTATTGAAGATTTTAATGTAAAAAATGTAACTACAAGGGTATTATTAGAAAAATATAGAATATTTGACTGCATAAAAGTAAAAAAATTTATTTCAAAAAATCACAAAGTTTAGTTGGAAGAAAGAATTTGTGGGACACATGACCAAAGACTAATAAAAAAAGGGAAAGTAGGAGAAGGGGCTAAGAGGATGGAAAGAATTCACAGGAGAAAGAATAGCAATTCATTGATAAATATCTTAAAAGATACTCATTCTCCAGATTGATTTAAAACTAAGGGGAAAAAACAAAATAAAACTAACCTAGGGGATGCCTGGTGGCTCATTCGGTTAAGCTCTGACTTTTGGTTTTGGTTCAGGTCATGATCTCAGGGTGGTGGGATTAAGCCCTTGGGTCTGGCTCTGTGCTCAAGGTAGAGCCTGCTTGGGATTCTCTCTCACTTTCCCCCTGCCACTCCTCCCCATGTGTGTGATCTCTCATGCACTCTATCTCTAAAAGAAATACATCTTTCTAAAAAATAAAACTAATGTAGGGGCATCTGGGTGCCTCCGTTGGTTAAGCATCTGCCTTGAGCTTGGGTCATGATACTGGGGTCCTGGGATTGAGCTCCGCATCAGGCTCAATGGGGAGCCTGTTTCTTCCTTTCCCTCTGATGCTCCCTCTGCTTGTGCAATCTTGTACTCTCTTGGTCAAATAAATATTTTTTTAAAGTTAAAAATTAAAAAAAAATTTTAAATAAAACTAACAAACTGACATGTCTATGCAGTGTAATACTACTCAGCAATAAAAAGGAATGAGAATGAAGCATGGATGTACACAACAATCTGGTTCAATCTCCAGAGAATTATGTTGAGTGAGAAAAGCTAATCCCAAAAGGTTATATATCTTATGATTCCTTTTGTGTAATACCCCCCGTTTTTTGGCAGTTTTATTGAGAAGTAATTCGTGTACCATACATTTCACCCAAATGTACAGTTCAGTGATTTTTTTCCTTTTTTTTTTTGTATATTCACAGTTTTGCAACCATCACTACAATCTAATGCAAGAACATTTTCATCACCCCAAAAAGAAACTGTACCTATTAGCAGTCACTCCAAATTATCTTCCTGCCTGCCCAAGCCTCAGGCAACAACTAGTCTACTTTCTGTCTTTCTATGTTTGCCTCATCTGGACATTTCATATTAAGTGGAGTTACACAACATGTGGTCCTTTGTGACAGGCTTCTTTCATTCAGCATGTTTGAAGGTCTGCCATTCTGTGGCATGCGTCAGTTCTGCAGTTGTTAGAGCCATTGCAAAATGTGGCAAGTAATTAACCAGTTCTCCAAATCTCTTTGATTCTCTGACATCAGCTGGGTATCCTACAGTTCAATTCAATTTTGACGCTAACTGCCCAGAGGTAGCACCTGACTCCTCACTGACTGAGCTACCCAGGCACCCCTCAAAATAGTTTTTAAAAGTGATTTAAGTGCACCTGGGTGGTTCAGTGATTGAGCGTCTGCTTTTGGGTCTGTGTGTGATCCTGGAGTCCCGGGATCGAGTCCCACATGGGGCTCCCTGTGAGGAGCCTGCTTCTCCCTCTGCCTATGTCTCTGCCTCTCTCTCTCTGTGTCTCTTGTGAATAAATAAATAAAATCTTTAAAAAAATAAAAAATAAATAAAAGTGATTTAAGGAGTGCCTGAGTGGCTCAGTCAGTTAAGCACCTGCCTTCGGCTCAGGTCATGATCCCAGGGTCCTGGGATCGAGCCCCACGTCAGGGGTCCATGCTCAGTGGAGAGTCTGCTTCACTCTCTGCCTTCTGTCCCCAAGCTTGTGCACGGTCTCTCTCTCTCTGTCTCCCCCCCGCCCCCCATTCACGCTCTCAAATAAAATCTTAAAAAAAATAAAGTGATTTAAAACACTCATGAGATTTTTGAGACTGGCAAATATTAAAAACACTGCTGTTACACTGTATGTTAACTAACTGGAATTTAAATAAAAACTTTAAAAATTTGCTATTAATACCCAATTTTGGAAATGGGTATTTCCAAAAATAGTTTTACTTACTGTTGAAAGTGTAAATTGTTATAGATTTTGGCAATGCCTATTCACATTTTAATGTGCTTCCCTTTAATCCAGCAGTCCTTTAGGGGATTTAGTTTGTAGCATAGATTTAGTTAAATTATGTACATTTTGCAGTGATAAAGAAGCATATTAACCTTTTTTTTTTTAAGATTTTATTTATTTATTCATGAGAGACACACAGAGAGCGAAAGGCAGAGACAAAGACAGAAGGAAAAGCAGGTTCTATGCAGGGAGCCTGACATGGTACTCCATCCCGAGACTCCAGGATCACGCCCCGGGCTGAAGGTGGCGCTAAACCGCTGAGCCACCCAGGCTGCCCAAGAAGCATGTTACTTTGATGCTGGTGCCTTCCTCATTTTACCAGAAAGGATCTGTGGAAAGTTTTTTTTTTTTTTTAATAAATTAATTTTATTGGTGTTCAATTTACCAACATACAGAATAACACCCAGTGCTCATCCCGTCAAGTGTCCCCCTCCGTGCCTGTCACCCATTCACCCCCACCCCCCGCCCTCCTTCCCTTCCACCACCCCTAGTTCATTTCCCAGAGTTAGAAGTCTTTATGTTCTGTCTCCCTTTCTGATATCTCTCCACACATTTCTTCTCCCTTCCCTTATATTCCCCTTGACTATTATTCATATTCCCCAAATGAATGAGAACATACACTGTTTGTCCTTCTCCGATTGACTTACTTCACTCAGCATAATACCCTCCAGTTCCATCCACGTTGAAGCAAATAGTGGGTATTTGTCGTTTCTAATGGCTGAGTAATATTCCATTGTATACATAAACCACATCTTCTTTATCCATTCATCTTTCGATGGGCACCGAGGCTCCTTTGTGGAAAGTTTTTTTTTAATTCTTTTTTTTTTTTTAAATTTTTTTAATTTATTTATGATAGTCACACAGAAAGAGAGAGAGAGAGGCAGAGACATAGGCAGAGGGAGAAGCAGGCTCCATGCACCGGAGCCCGACGTGGGATTCGATCCTGGGTCTCCAGGATCGCGCCCTGGGCCAAAGGCGGGCGCCAAACCGCTGCGCCACCCAGGGATCCCTCCTTTGTGGAAAGTTTTGATACAACTCCCCATCACTGATGTCTGACTGAAAGCTGTTGTAAGATAGTGCTGGTTCTAAGAAGCCTTCTGATTTTAGAGATGGTAAAGTGAGGGTGGGAAAGTACATCTTAGAATTGATGAAATGAGTACATCCCAACTTAACTAAAATGGAAAGATATCCAAGATAGGATGAAAAAGCATGTTGTAGCAGTTTGAATAACATGATCCTCCCTGCCTACATTTTATTTTCATTTTTTATTTTTAAAAAATTTTATTTATTCATGAGAGACACAGTGACAGAGGCAGAGACATAGGCAGAGGGAGAAGCAGGCTCCATGCAGGGAGCCCGATGTGGGACTCGATCTCGGGACTCCAGGATCATGCCCTGGGCCAAAGGCAGGCACTCAACCGCTGAGCCCCCCAGGTGTCCCCTCCCTGCCTACATTTTAAAGCATGTGTATATTTGCATGGTTTTTGAATTATTGCATATGTTTAGAAGAAAGGCTGGAAGCATACTCAATGAACCGTTGACAGTGGTCACCTCTGGAGGGTTCAGTTTGTTAGAGGAGCCATGGATGCAGAAAAGGGACTTTTCCTTTGTGAAGTTTTTTAAAATAGATTTTTTTTCTTATTTATTTGTTTATTTGAGAGAGACAGAGAAATACCACAAGCAGGGAGAGAGGCAGAGGGGGAGGGCAAAACAGGCTCTCCGCTGAGCCAGGAGCTCAATGTGGCTCCACTCCAGGACCCTGGGATCATGACCTGACTGGCAGATGCTTAACAGACTGAGCCACCCTGACACCCCCAAACAGAATTTTTCTTTCTTTTTTTTTTTAATTTTTATTTATTTATGATAGTCACACAGAATGAGAGAGAGAGGCAGAGACATAGGCAGGGGGAGAAGCAGGCTCCATGCTCTGGGAGCCTGACGTGGGATTCGATCCTGGGTCTCCAGGATCGCGCCCTGGGCCAAAGGCAGGCGCTAAACCGCTGCGCCACCCAGGGATCCCCAGAATTTTTCTTTAAAAAAAGTCCAACAGCTGATCTTTGGATAATAAAGCCATGCTTCTAACCTTGGAGACTACTGTGCCACAAATTGCATCTTGGAATTAGAAAGGGCTCACAGTGGTTTCCAAGCTAGCAGTCAGCAATCTATAATAAAGTTTCTCATTTTGTGTTGTCTGGGATTA